TTCCGATCTATTTGTTAAATTAATAAATACATATTGGAGCGATATAACACCCAAGCTTTGGTTCGTTGGCCCTTTTTTACTTTATTTATTAATATTGGAATAATTTGGAGCTTTGACTTTAAATTTTATTTTAATTTTAATTAATTTGTAATACTTACATTGTCCATCAGTTCTTTCTTCATAAAAGGTTTTATTATGTTCATTAATATTTCTATTATGGATGGCGCATTTAAGACATGGACTTCCTTCAGACGAAATGGCGCTGTTTCTTGGATATAATAAAAAAATTTTTTTAATGCCAATGGATTCATTCGTGTAATATGACCAAAGGATAATTTTCCAACGTCGAAGAGCAAGGCATAACCGTTCGTAATACCATTTATGAAAATATTTACGTCAAGTAACATGAAGGCATGTCTGAGAGCGATATTAAAGTCAAAGAGAGAAGAATCGGGTTCTAGTATTGTCGCATATGATATTATATAGCCATCCTTCGTTGTTGCTTTCAGAAGAAAAGCAGCCCTATTTTAAATCAATTTAATTTATTAATATATCAGAAAGTATCAAAACGTTAGCAAAAATATTCTGTAGTACTGTTAAAAATCTGCAATTAATATACTTATTCACATTTACAAAATCTATTTTTTCTGCATAAAACTCAAAATGTGTATACTTTAAATATTTTGAATATTGTAAATTAACATTTTACATATAGGGTAGGATTGGATATTACAGCACATTAAGAAAATGTTTGGATATTTCTTATTGAAGAATAAGAAAATCTTGTTTCTCTCATTTGATAAGTCTTATTGTTGTACGTAATTTGGTATTGGAAATTTATTATTTTAATGCAAATGATCAGTGATGGAGGGTGCTTTAATTACCCAAATAGATCTCATATTATTCTTTAGATAGAATAATATGGGCATCTGAGGGTAATATGAGCACAGAAATTTTTTTCAGTTATGCAGAAATAAAAAATCATATTAAAAATTTCTTGTTAGAATAAACGTTTAACATTTTGGTAGAAACTAAAATATACTTTTTACTTAAACGAAACTAAAATATTCTATCAAAATAAGCATTCAAAATATAATTATCTTATTTATCACATAACGGTCAAATGTAGACCTGGAAAGAAAAAGAAAGCACATATACAATATTTAAACATTTTATTATAAAATAACTAACATTTCAATAAAAAATAAACTATAGCATTTTACTTTAACAGTATTAAAACATTCTAACAAAAAGAAATATTTAAAATGTAATTATCTTCTTGTCACAAAATAATCTATTAATAATAATTGCAAATCTTGACTTTTTTGTTGATTCCTATATTCTCCATGGATCTATTGCTTGCACAATACACAAATAAAATTAACCAGATGTTGAAAAGTTTTTATTAGTTAAAATTCTTAATTGTTAATTCAAAATAATAATCAAAATAACAAAAAAACTTATCTTCCAATTTGCAAAGGTTGACGGTGTTTATAGTAGACTACTGTAAAAGTACAATATGAGCATACTCATAACAGAAAGCCATACGTACTGTTTGAAAAAGCCTTATATCTAACAAATTAATAATGGTTTTAAGGATTTGTGAGATTAGGACGGCTAAATATTTTTTACTTTATAAATATTAACGATGCAGAACAAAATATGTTATCTCAATGTAGGTTGCGAAGCTAATGAAATAAAGAGAAAAACGTAAGAAATAAGAAAATAACGTACATTTTGATTTATTTTGACAACTTTTCAGAATAAATAAAACTAATGCAAATCCCGCAGCATACTTGGATGTTCTGAAGCCAGTGCACTTTTTACACAGCAGATTGCATTATATAGTACCAACCGTTGCAAAAATATATATAGAGGACGCTAATATTACCTGTAGTGCTCATAATACCCGACCATACTCTTCACTAACAAGTTATACTATTTGCTCACTAATATTTATAAAGTTGCTTCTTACGAGACTTTGAAGCCTTGTTGTAGCTCCGTTTTTTCCCTGCACGGATCTCGATTACCAAAAAATTCTGGTAAGTGCGTCCTGAGCGTGTAATAATTTTCAATTGTGTTTTTCGTTGGTTCCATTTGATAATAATTTTTGTGAAGAAACAAAGCAAGGAAGGTATCCTCAATTTTTGGCAAGTGCGGTTGTTTCTCGCACCATTCTCTCAGTGATTGTATATCAGATAACTTCAATTGAGGACTCTTTTTCATTTCTTCCTCTAATGTAATACTTTTCATTGTTGACATTGAAGTTTGCTTAAACTGCAAAATAAAATTATTTTATTATATCTGTTTGTGAGTCAAAAAATATCTAAGGAAAGTTAATTACAAAAAAATCAGTTTTTATTAAATTAAATTATTTAAATTTTAAATTGTGAATAGTTTAATGATTAAGAAAAAAAATTTGTAAAACTGATTAATTTTATTGGTCAGAAAATGATATTTTTTAATAGATAATTTGATAAAAAATTATTTTCTGAACAATTAGTCAAAAATTAATTATGCCAAGCAAAATTAGTAAACTTAATTTATAAACTACGTGTATAATCATATATTTTAATTTTTATTCCCTAATCAAAAAAGAAAGAGAGAGAGAGAGAGAGAGAGAGAGAGAGAGAGAGAAAAAGAGAGAAAGAGCGGGAAAATCAAGTAAGATAAGTGTCTGTGCAACATTAGAAATAGGTCAAATTTTAAGAAAATGAAAATTTTATGTCCCCAAATATCTTATTTCAACTTAACGAATTTTGCCCAGACACTTGTCTCGTCCCATAAATATTTTAGAATAATTAATAATGTAATTTATCAAATTATTAAGAATAATTTATTAATTGAATTATGTTATACAACTCTTTTGTGATTGTTCTAATCGTGTTATTTTGTAATATGATTCGTACGCATAAATTTGATGACAATTGTTATGTAATTAAGTTAAATAGAAGATTATAATACCTTGTTATATGTATTATACACATACATGTTCATTATATAATGGAACGATTCTTATTTATCAATATGAATATAATTTTGATATAAATATAAGTTTAATTTTCATACATACGATTCTGTCTCTTATACACATCTCTGAGCGGGC